AGAAAATACATCTTAAGAGCTTTGTCTCATGTAGCTCACAAAAGGAACTCTTCCCCAAAATTTAATATTTATAATTTCTATCTTCTCTGGTTGTGCACACTGTTAAACTGGTACTAATAGAAAAATTAGCATTTAAATTCTGATATATTGATCTAGACTTAGGTTGCTAAATACACTAGTCCAGGTGATATGAAGCTCAATGGTACAATAATTGCATTCTTAAGAGATAATGTTACAAGTTACTTTTCAAACATAGTTATTCATAAAATGACTTGATCACTTTATTAGTGATATTCAACCCATGCAAACAGAACATGGGACAGAAAACTAGTGAATAAAAAGGACAGGAGGAAGAAAAAAGTGGAACATTACGAAGACTGTTTTGAGAAGGTGGTTGCTGGCATTTCAAGGCCGTCATCCTACATTGATCAGGGTGGTAGGTGTTATAGGGTTGGTAGGTGAGCAAGTTGCTGCTGTTGCTTCCACAAGTATCCCAGGCAAGTTGTCTGCTGCTCCTTTGAACCCTGACTGTCCACATGAAGGATGATGGGAATCGCACACAAAGAAGACAGAACGGAGCAGAAAAGAGGGAAAGACAACAGAATTATACAGATCATAACATCTGACAGAAGAGAAAGCAGTTTTGAGTAGAAAGAATGATGACTTTTATCATCACCTATTGGAACAGCCCTTTTTAATTGACACATACACAGTCATTAACAAACTGAACACTTCGGGTCTCCGAGAGTAACTCAGGTGGGAGACTGGTGGAACTTCCAAAGAAATTGCTGATAATGGATGTTTACAGCATTTCTCCAAGGTCCTTTTGTCTCTCAGGGTTATTCTGAAAAATTGTAAGACACCCATGGATCCTCTAAGGTGGTATGACATATTCTATGGACCACACTTTTGAGAGGATGAAATTAATCTTCAAACAAAAAAGTGTGCGCAATAAGAGTGTAAGGCTGCACTCCATGAAACCTTTCACTTCAATTTTTCCACACAATTTTTCTCCTGCTTATTAAAAGGTACATACAATTAAATATTTTGCAAGCTGGAGTGATTCATGAACTACATTTTGAAAGTTACCATCTTATATGGGTATATTTTCCTCCTTTTGCTTAAAAATAACATGAGTTTAATTTTATTCATGTTTAATACTGCCAATTAAGATTAAGAGTTCATTTTAGCTGGTTTTGTTCAATCATGAATTTAAAAATAGGAATGACAGAAAAGGCTAATTACAGCATTGCTTAATAATGTAACATTCTCAAACAGCTGACTGGAGCATAACCCGAGACGAATTGCCTAGTGCAAAACGGCATTGAACACTTTGGGCTTCTCCTGCAATAAAAGCTGCGAGAACCTTTCACAGGAAACTCTTGAGCAACTTCCTGATTGGCTGTATGGCCAGTCTGCCCCTGTCACAACCAGCACAAAATATTTTGCTTTTCAACTCTTTTCTCTGTCTCCAGATGCTACCAGATCGGCTGAATACTTCCAGCACGGTTTCTATTTCAGAGCTCCAACACTTGGAGGAGTTTGCTTTTACCGTTCACCGCAGCTGTGATATCAGTTAAGGGCTTGGCCCATTAAAGATTCTATTAAACCCTGCTCTACAGATAAAGGAATACAGTCTTATAGAGTCATAGAATTGTACTACATGGAAACTGACCCTTCAGTCCAACTTGTCCAATCTGACCAGATATCCTAAATTAATCTTGTCTCATTTGCCACTATTTGGCCCGCTAAACCCTTCCTATTCATATATCCGTCCATCTATCTTGTTTGACTGATTACATCATCTCCAACTTTAACTGCTATTTACCAACAACGTCCCCAACTTCAGTAGATACCCTCAACAAGGAGATATGGTCGACAACATAAATTAAGTTCCGAAATGCTGAAATGAGCAAGTTTAATAGCTGACAAAACAGTCAGGGTTCATTCATTACATGGTGTAACCGTTATACACTACAATAGTGATGATACTTAAAAAGTATTTGATTAGTTTTAAAACTTTGGACATATCCTGAGATCATGAAAGTTACTATAGAAATGCAAGTCTTTCTTTTAAATATTTTATGCATTTCATTCATTTTTTTTTAAATTCCAACATTTTAACTGCTTTACCATTGATTTCTTTTCAGAATTTCACTCAGCTCTAAATTATCTAGTTGCAGCTGTTCATTGTTCTGAGTATACCGACATCTCATTCATATTTTTAAGAGTGACATTTAAAGCTTTGTCTCCCGATATGTCCATTCACTTAGTGAGGGGCTGATGTGGTACTTGTGAACATCTCATACATTCAAACAGATGAGCATTTTCAACATAGTTGCCTGCTCAAATGTATGAATTGACAAGCTCTCAGTATAGACCAGCTACCAGAAAGGATCAAAAATGTTAGGACTGCTACTGGAAACCAAATTAACGAGCAGAATGTAACTGCATTCTTCTGAATCATTTATTTACTTTTCAACATGAAGTGATATCTGATGTACCTAAATCTGCAATTTTTAAAATTTGACTAGACTCCTTTACCAAAGGCACTAGGTGGCAATTGTTGGATTGGATCCCAAAACAAACAGATCTACTCATTCTCCCCATGTGTGCGTGGGTTTCCTCCAGGTGCTCCGGTTTCCTCCCACAGTCGAAAGATGTGCAGGTTAGGTGGACTGGCCATGCTAAATTACCCATAGTGTCCAGGAATGTGTAGGCTAGGTGGGTTAGACGTGGGAAGTGCAGAGTTAAAGGGAAGGGGTAGGGGAGTGGTTCTGGATAGGATGCTCTTCGGAGGGTTAGTGTGGACTTGATGGGCTGAATGGCCTGCTTCCACACTGTAGGGATTCTAGACTCCGCCTCCATTGGGAGAATTAGATTTTCTTTCCCTGTCAACTCCCACATTAGTGAGATTGCAAGATTTAATTGCAAATGCCCCTTAGAGAGTACATTGAGCATTTTCTCTCACCCCTTTCGTCATGGAGCAAGATGCATCATAGTTCCGGAAATAACAGATTTTTTTTCATCTGCTTCTGCTTACTGCTGATCTTGCTCAGCTACTCATCACATTAACATTCTGGTCCACTTTACAGAGAGAAAAATATACCCATTGTTTTCCATAACCTCTCGGTTTCAGTTACATCAAGCAAATTAAAAAGTCCACACTCTTGAATGTGTTGACTACGTCAATAGCACCATTTAATGATTCTGTACTATAATCTGGGAGTCACACTCTGAATGAGCAAGGCCAGAGATAGGATGACCACAATGCAGCAACAAGTCTGGTCCACAATCTTTTTGAGCATCACCTCAGTAAATCTGTTCTCATATATTTAAAACAATTGTGAAAGAAAATGAACTTTACAAAACTGCATTTAAAGATTTATTCCAGGTCGTCAACTGTCAAATGATAAATCAAAAACCCTTGATTGCTGACTAAAATTTCACAATTGTACTTCATTGAAGTTTGAATCAAAGGTATAAATCTCATATCAGAATGGCTATTAAATGAAGAAGATACAAACCCAACAAGAATCTCAATTGTCAAAAGTAATCATCTTAAACTTCTTTGTTAGAGATACAATACAATCTCAGCAGGCTGAAAAAAATCTTCAGTAATCAAATGTATAGACATCGCAAGATTTACCCATATCAAAAATGCAAATTCTGGAAAATAATCTGTTTAAAAAGTAGATCTTGGCATGTCTTGTAGACTTCTACTGCAACTTTTAAAATACACCTTTCTATTGGTTTGAAATTCCTCTATAACAGAAAGTGAATTCCTGCTTTTCTTTAATTAACCTGCTGATGCAAGTAGGTTCCAAACTGTCAATTAAAATTTTCCTTGTCTTTTTGTTAAAATTTAAACTTAGTTCTTTACAAAAGTGCAAGATATTAATTGATCTGGACTGCCATTGGTTCCTAACAGTGGTTATATTGGTACATTTTATCAGTGCAGTGCTAGGCCCAAACTGATATTACGCTCGTATTAAAGACTTGCTTTCCCAAAAGAGATCTCAAATCTCATGGTTCCCAGTGATCTCTGGTACACCCATAACATTTCAAAGCACCAGGGACAATACAGGATCATTTGTATCAAAAAAACCCCTGCAATCTTGCACATATCAAATAGTTTTATAGACATGCATGCCAACTTTTACATAAAGCTGTTGGACATCCCTCTTAATTAGGAAAAGTCTGTACAAACCAGAAAACTACAGCTTCCCAGGATTAAAAGCAAAAAAAGCTCCTATATTGACAGTTATTAATGGGGTAACAAAACTGTATTCAGCAAAAAATTAATAAAAGCGAAAACAGAAGGGTGAAGAATTTGAAAATGCATAAAGCGTAGAAAATACTTTCAATATATCATTTATTAAGACAATATCATAAGTTCTTGGAACTGGCTAGACTACGTTTGACCTTGTATAATAACTAGTGACAGTATGTAATAATAGAGGTATGATCACTAACTTCCTAAAATTACACATTGAGCCATTATGGTCAACAGTCAGGCTAGGGTAGGGACGAGAGATAGTTATTTTTTTCCCCTCTATATCTAAATCCGGACCTATCTTATTGCAGCTTCAAACTTCATTTTTGATTACAAATTTTCTCAAGACTGAAGGAGCTTTGACAATATGCTTAGAATTGCCTTGTACAGATATACCCTACAAAGGAAAATAGTGGCCTTTGTACAGCATGAGGTGCATTGTTCCCAGAGGGTACTGAAGAAGCTCTGCTCTTGAAAAAAAAGAGTATTCCTGTTTATAGAATGATCTTTATCTAGCAGAGTCAGGACTGTGATCTATTGCAATGCTGTGAACTAAATGGTACATAAATGGACATCAAAACCAGTAATCGGATAATCACCTCAAGCCAGACAGGAAGAAATGTGCTAACTGAAAGTTTTATTTCAACTGTCCCTTGTTATTAAGTGCACTTGACCTGTCAACTTCTCCTCTTATTCTCTCCAGGCAAATTATTCACTTACTTACCGTGTTCTGGTCCCTTCAAAGCAAGTCGTGTTTGATGATAAGGAAGCAGTTCTAGCTTGACATGTTCAGAGGTACTGGCTAAAAGCTGAGTTGCCTCAGCTAATGTGCAATACTCCATGCTGGTGCCATCAATCGAAAGTATGTGATCCCCAACATGCAAAGCTCCACATCTATGAATACACAAACCTTTTAGGTCACAGAAATAACTTTAACATCAAAAATAGCAAGGAAAAGCATTAAACATGCTTTAGCAATTCTTCAATTATAAAGGAAGCTTCAAATGAAAACGTAACTTACATTACTTAGAGTCAAAATTGCATAAGGCTTAATGCCAATCAGTTGACCGCTATCTATGATGTATTAAATGCAACAGTAAAATAAGAACTCATGAAATCAGAACACTTGATAAAATTACAACAGATATACAGCGTAATAATTTTCTCCTCATCTTCTTGTTCCCTATTACTCTAGGTGTAGCTAGCCTCAGTAAGTTCGACCCCCAGCTCCTTAACTGTACCTGGGAGTTTATTGTGTGAAGAATCGCAGCTACATCATTGCAAAGTGCAGTCTGCTAGAATATGACTGGAAGTACTGCATGAGATGCAGGCTCTCAACAGTTTATAATAGCACAACATGGAGTAATTAACCTTACAATCTTTCCAAATATAATTGCCACAAAATTACAGGTATTCCAACACTGAGTACATTTCACAATTTACAAATCAGACAGAAATATATTCATATTTCAGGTGGAATATTGTTAAAAATATTCTTGCAATAAAGTACAATGTTTTCCTATAATACACATCAAATTCTAGCTGAATAAACAATTGCAGATGTGGCTATTATAGTAAATATTGGAGGGGTTAAATTTGTTTTCTTACATTGGATTGTTCATTTGGAATAATTTGTGTGTCAGATTTAATGTAATATGGATCAACTTTTGCAAATCAAACATGAAAGACACTGAAAATGAACCAGCAATATGGATGGCTTGTGTCTACAATATAAACCATAGACTCCAAAATGGAAGATTTTACCCAAGTTCGAAGGTGGAAATTCTGTCGAATGGCCAGTCAAGATTTCCCGATTGCTGATGGGAGTTGAGATAGCAGGGAAGGTCAACACCCAAGTCCCTCACAAGAGAGCTAGGATCCAGTGTAGGAACAGATTTAATGACATCCTGCATTCTGTTAGGTTAGGTGGAACAATCCACTCTCTGCCAATTGACACTAATACAGGCATTTTTCGCTCTTTGCCAGTGCAGTGGCATATCAGACAGGACACCTGTGTGCAAACCTCAGCTCCAGATGGAATACGTGTACTAACGGGCAACAACCACCTCACGTTGTCAATGTTCTACCAATTGCAGGAGAGTTTGCTAATTACTTATCGGGGAGGGCTCAGGACTTGGTGGGATTGTGCAGGCTCATTAAATGCTCAGGCACCCATTGTGCACTCCTTCTCTTTGCCTGCAGAAGGCAGTGCTCTAGGCCAGTGGAGGCAATGAACTCGTTGCTGACCTCCATCCACCGCCTGTGGGGGTGGGAAGGCACAAGGTCTCGGAGACTTGGAGGAACTGCTAGAGACCAAACACTTGCTCAGCCCCATGCAGATGATAAGGTTTTTGTACTTATCCATAAGTGACATGTTGGAGATGCAGAGACAGACAGGGGACCATTAGATAGAGCAGGCAGAGGCCCTCAGTCAACCAGAATACAGGCTGGAGGAATCTGTCCAAGTTCTGCTCACCGTTGTGGCTCAGGTATTGTAGGGTTTGGTTGATTCTGTGGAGAAGATGGAAACTCCCTTGGAGATCCAGCTCCAGTGGAGCATTCAGTGGCTTCTGGATATGTGGCAGTGCACCAATAGCAATTAAGAGGGGTCAAGGCACATTGGCCTTCAACCAGGTGTGCCTTCATCTCAGGGCGACAGACAGGTGTCATTGGGCACCCACAGGAAGGAGAAGCACCAACCAGGCAAAAAGTAACATTCATCTCAGGACCTTTCAGAAGAGCTCTGCTGCTCAACCTTCCTTCTGCCAGCGACCTTATCTCATCCACAAGGTCATGCCAAGGACACTGCACTGGCACTTTTTCTGGCAACCCTCAAGGCCCATAACAGGGTAGAAGCACAGTCACTGAGGATGCTCAACTAATGCAACCTTAGGGTCAAGCAAGAAAAAGATCTCTGGCACTGCTGGGATCAGAGAATCGCAGAGCATACTGCACAGTTCAATCAGCCTAAATCTGGCTTCTCTCTGTATATCCTGATGTCTGCTTTACAAAGCTCTCAGCAAGTGTGCAGCATGTGTCATGGTTACATCAGCAACTAAGGCAAGGTGACTCAGCATGTGGCATTCAAGATAGCATCCATATGGACTTTCATGAAGTTTGGCCCATAAACTGACAGGAGCCCAAGGCCACAGGAGTCCAACATGTTGTGCTGTGACAGTTGGGAATAATTAGAGTAAAGGATAGTTTTTTTTTTAAAAAAGAAAATACAGTTCAACTCATCCAAGGTATCACATCAACAGCATAACCAAAGGAAACAAAAAAAAGAGACGTTTCATTTAATGAAACAGAGAAAAGTTTAACTTAAGGAATGCAATGATGTATATTCCAAATTGGAAGCAGCAACAGATTTTTAAAAAAAGCACAATGTTGTGTACTCTGCAGCACATTACAATGATGTGTGGTATATTACAGCCCACTCACTTCCAGTGGTCCAAACATGTGTGCTTCATTTTGAGCAGTCTGCTCAATGATGGCCTGCATGGAAGCATTTATGTAAATTACACATCAATACTTGAATAGAGTTTCAAAGTATATTGATAAAATTTTCTGAAAGATGCACCATTTTTTTAGGGTTAGACAAATTGAACAGTGCAAGCACACACCCATATTGCACTTTTAACATTGAAGAAGTTTCAATGTGCACTGGATGTTAAACACCCAAGAGATATAAAGTTAAACAAAATTGAGACAAAGGAGTAGATATCAGAAGGATGATCAAAGCTTGATTGAAGAAGTGGATTCATAGGAAAGAGGCTCCAGATTCACCAAGCTATAGCTTGCAGGGCCTATTTTGAGTAAAATCTGCTTCACACTATTTCAGTTCAATACTTAAACACAATTTTAAAATACAGCTACATCTTATTAATAATCTTATATTTGCATGCACAATTGACAGAATTGTCTCTTTTTTGGTCAACTTTTTTGATTCAAAATTCCTAAAGGCTCCATGGACAATGGAAAGTTCACCTTAAAGTCTACAGTTGGCCTCACCCCAAACACAGCACCATGGCAAGATGGAGTAATAATCATGTCAAAAGTCTTACATATAGCCTAGACTTTTGGGGACAGACACAGAGGATCACATTAAACTTCATACAAGCGAGTAATATGACTACTTTCCCCATCCAAAAAAACCCTGCAATACTGTTTTAGTCAAGTATTTGCAACAGAAAGATGAAATAATAGAGAACTTTTGAGCCTAATTTCAGATTGACAGTTTAAAATCTTGATTAAGAACATACTTTACCTACACCAACTGTTATATTTATAATCAAAATACACATACATTACATCACATCACAAAGAATTCTATTTGGAAATGCATAAAATAACGAAGTGATTAATAACAGTGCTGATCAAGCCCAAGTACTTACCTATCTGCAATACTGGCAGCTTTTATTTTGTCTATGACTATGACTTGCTTGTTACAGTACAGTGAGGTAGTTAAAGCAATGCCCAAGCTTGAACCAGGGGTCTTGGCCACCTCCACCATCAGTGGGCCTGAAGCATTTGCTACTGAATCTAACAAATCAAAAAGCAAAATGACACAACGTGAAGATTCTGTGTTACCATACAGCAACTGGCCTTGAATATAATAATAGAAGGCCAGACGCCCACTGACAGTTTTAAGACAAGAATAGACAGTGATCTGTAAAGAGAGATGATAAACCTTTAAAACTAAATGACACAGTAAACAAAACCATCTGTGTGATACAGAGAAACAAGAAAGGTGCAAATAAACTCAAATCTATTCCAAACCTTGGGGACAATTAAAAAAAAAACAAGTTTACTGGGTCAAAGTGAAGGACAACTTTTGGACTACATTAAGTATTAATGTATGAATTATGCATGTAGAAGTATGCAATTATTTTTCAATTATAGAATAACTAAACTAGTTCAAAAGGTAACCAATAGGTGCAATTGTCAGATAAATAATGATAGTTGTTAAATAATACATATGCTTTTGGAAATTACAATTATCTTAAATGTATTACAGTCTCATCTAGGACAATTATTTGAATAAAACCTAAGTGTGGTGAAGAGAATGGATAGATTTACCTGCAATCTCAAGCGAGGGAACCAAAAATAGTTCACCTCAGAATGAACCCACAAATGAAATTGCTACACTTGGTAATTCCTAATGGAACACATTTGGGCACAGCGGAGATGAAACAACACTTTGTACAGAAAAAAGGCAAAGTGGTTAAGAGCTCAAGGTCTTTTGTTTTAAAATAAGTTCAAGGACGTCTTCAAAACTCAACATACCCATGACAGACACATCATATTCGATTATTAATGTTGCCTCTTGTCCACACTGTTTGAGAATGCTCATAGCTTCTGTATGTGTGGTTCCATGTAACCGTATTCCATCAACACTCAACAGCCTGTCGCCAACTTTTATTGTGCCTTCTCTACAGAATAAAATAAATCATATCACAAGTCAAAGTCATTAGTCACAACAGCTAATAACAGTGTTACAGTCTGAATAGGAAAATATATCTGGCTAGTTTCTGAATTCAGGCTGTTATTCATAAGATAGAGACTTTCTTGTAAATAAATTGCATGGCTGGGTGGTTCACTAGTAACAAGTTCAATATGAAGTTGAGATTGTTTTATGATAATTCAACAAGAGCAGTTCTCATTAATTAGCTTTAGGTTATCATTTGATTATACATCATTCTTCTTTCTATTACTTTTTTCCTTTTTTATATAGGACTTGTTGCCCATTCCTAACCGTTCTTGAACCGAGGGCTTCCTCAGCCAGTGCAGAAGACAGCTAAGAGGCAGTCAATCACATTGCTGAGAGCCTCAAGTCACATGTCAAATGCTTTCTAGAAAAGGACATTAAATGAACCAGTTGGGTATTTTTATATCAACTAATGATACTTTCAATAGCATCAATACAGAATCTATATATTCCAGACTTTCATCAATCAAATGAATTCTTAATTATCAAATGTACATCCAGCTGTATAATCATGGTGGGATTTGAACTTGTGTCCCCAGGATACGAGTCTTGGTCGCTGGTCCAATGACATCAGAATTATGCCACAATCTCCCTGACCTTTCACTATTAATGGGACTTAGGGCATTGGCCATAAATAGCTACAAGAAATTGGCAAAAGAACAATTTGAATCTTAGTAAAATACCTTAAGTTTTAAAATGTTCATATATTGGTATCTGCTCAGAAATGCAACCTCACTTTGGGCGGAGAAGTGACAAATAACATGCATACCACACAAATGTCATCTCTAACAAGAAAGAATCTAACCTTTGACATTTAATGGCATTACCATCACTGAATCCCACATTATCAATAAAAAAAATGGAAGAACTGCAGATGCTGTAAATCAGGAACAAAAACTAAGTTGCTGGAAAAGCCCAGCAGGTCTGGCAGCACCTGCTGGGTTTTTCCAGCAACTTTGTTTTTGTCTCACATTGTCAATGTACTCGAGGTCACCATTGACCAGAAACTAGACTGGACTAGATAAATGCAGTGGCTACAAGGGCAAGTTAGGCACTAGGAAACCTGCAGGTAACTCACCTTCTGACTCTCCAAAGTATATCCACCATCCAGAAGACACAAGTCAGGAATGTGATGGAATACTCCCCATTGCCTGGATGAGTGCAGATCCAACAACACTCAAGAAGCTTGACACCATCCAGGCAAAAAAAAAACCCACTTGAACTGCACTACGTCCAGAAGCATCCATTCCTTTTACCACCAACATTCAGTAGTAGCAGTGTGTAGTATCTACAAATGCACTGCAAAAATTATTCAAGGGTCATTAGACAGCACCTTCCAAACTCAACAACCACCTCATCTGGAAGGGCAAGGGCAGCAGATACACAAGAATATCATGCCTTGCAAGTTCCCCTTCAGGCCACTCTCATGGGAAACATATCACCATTCCTTCAGTGTCACTGGATCAAAATCCTGAGATCCTGGGTCTACCTACAGCAGATGGAAGGCAGCAGTTCAAGAAGGGAGCTAAGCACAACCTTCTCAAGAACATCCAGGAATGAGCAATAAATGCTGGCCCAACCAGTGAAACCCACATCCTCTGATTTTTTTAAAAATTGGAAATGTGGAGGGTGGAAACAGTCAAAATGTAGCTCTCCGAAATGTTCACATTTCTTCATTTTTTTTAAAAAATGTCATCAGAAGATTTTAGTGAGATTAGCCTCATCTAATCACTTCTTTAATATCATAAATATATATTCAGTCCACTTAAAAGTTTACATCAACTATTAGGTGACATTTTCAATGTTTTACTTTCAAACAATTTCTTAGATTAGGAATAAGGACAACAGTGGAAACTGACATCAGACACAAATCAAAACCTCACTGAAAGTGTACCACAGATTTGTGTCATGCAAGTACAAAATCATGAACACTTCATTTTCACTAACGTTCAAGTGTCAGCGATCAAGACAGTAGCTTTGGGGCATTCACACAGATCTATTATAAAGCATGTCTTTATAGTTTTAAAATCTTTATAAAAATATAAACATAAGTAGAAAGGTAAGACTGATAGAAATTCAAAATCATTAAATCACAAACACAGATATGACTCAGTATTGGATGTGGTACACTTTTAATTACTTTTCTGTACCAGATCCTCAGCTTATGATTCTACATTTATCCTATAACGGAATAAATGTTTCAAGTCTCATCAGTTGTGTACCACTTGCTAAAACAATGAACTGGAAACAGAAAAACAATGTACAATATTCAGAAACAATGTTTAAGAGCAGGTCACCCTCATTCTGATGGCCACATTTGTGAGTGGCTGCATCAAACCATGTGCAGACCCTTGGTACACAAACACTAAGTGTCACTTTGTGCATAAGTTCTACCTGACCCAGGTCGTGAACAATGGGTCAATCCATATTGCCATGGAATGCTCCATACCACATGTCCCTCATAGAAACGTTTCTACAGAAAAATCCTTCTGGCCACAAGCCATCAGGCAGTGGTCACCATGTAACATTTTTGAGGCCCTTCAGGGAAATCAGAAGGTCATTCTTTTTGGATGGCTCCCTGAACAGACAATCAAAGTAATCTGCAGAATGCCTCATTGGCAAACACCAACTGCACCTGGAAGACTATCAACTCTGTGAAAGACCCACTCTTTGTTCTGTTTGAAATTTAATGGTCTTACAGTGCAAAAAGTTATTCTTAACTGAGTGTTGCAGACTAGTACATTCCATGATCTAGGTCTATCTGCTGAGGGATGCACTAAAGGTTGGAGCAGCCACTGCCAAGACAGAGAGGGGAAAGGACATTGTCGAAGGCCTTTCTTTTGTGATATGCAGAGGGTCTGTTACGTACAGAAGCTTATATTAGAATGATGTAGTTCTGGTCATATTTCATAAATGCTCCAATTTTAGATTCGGATAGTGGCACCCTAAAGTGCAAAGCTAAGATTCGAAAAAAAAAACGTGATTTTTGCATTTTCTACAATCTCCAATTTGAACTGTTTTGTAATGCACTTACAGATTATTTATGAATAAAGTACATTTTTACAAATAAAAATGTAGTTTCTATCACGATACCCTGAGAGTCAGGTCACTTTAAGAATTTCTGGAGCTTCCATTGGATTGTGATTAGCTTGTCACAATTAGTAAATGCTCCAAATTTTCATTTGCATGGAGGCACTTAAGAGAGCAAAGTGCTCAACTGGGAAATGTATTTTTTCATTTAATCTCCCATAATGTTCAACTTGATTTGTTTTATAATGTACTTACAGATAAATTATGAATGCAGTATATCTTTACAACTTACAACTAACAACTAACACAAGGGGAACAATAATTAGCAACAGGCAGTACGGTTATAATGGCCCACAAAGCTTGCAGTTGACTAACGAGCTATGTAAAGGCTACCCAATTTCAAGTATGATCATGATGTTCTTTTTTATAACTGTACCTGTCAGCTGGTCCCCCAGCTCTGACATAGGTTATTACAATCGGGCGGGATCTATTTCTGTCTTCATGTGCTCCTCCTGTGGTAAATAAATACATAAAATATGAAACAATACGAAGTGATATACCTACAGCTAAGTGTGGAATTGAGCAGCACCAATAGAGACGGCCCCAAGGCTAATCCAATCTGTACAAGGTGAATTGATCTGAGGCAAAGTGATAAGGAAGCCAACAACTATCTTCAGCACTTCAGGATGGGAGAAAAGGTAGCCCTCACTTCTGACTGCGATCAATGATTATATTTAAACTTCCTGCTGGAAAGCGTGCGAGTGTGCGTCAGGGAAAGCCAAAACAAGAATTATTGGCCTTGCCACACTTAGTATTTGGACACACAGGTGAAGAATATAAAGCTTACAGCAGCTCAGTAAAATTGTATGCTTGTTAAAGCTATTGAAGGGAGAAGGGTGGCTTTACTATGCTTGAACAGACCAGATACGGTTTGGAATTTTTTCACTTCGAGTATGGCGAATCTTTAGAATTCTGTACCGCAGAGCACAGTGGAAGTTCAAACAATGCAGTCGTGAACATGCTCAATCAGTGGATTTCAGGAGAATAATGACATCAAGGGAAGAGGGGATAGCATCAAGGTAGCTGATCAGCATGATCTGATGCAATGGCACGGTAGGATCAATGGGCTGAGTGGCCTACAAAGTTTGCTGAATAAAACAAGGTCAAAATCTGCCCTCAGATAAAAATGCATATGCTATTAGCAAACTTATTTCAAATTATACAATGGCACCCAGGTGGTTTGCTGTACAAACAAGAGGAGGACAAATGGCAAGCCCTAACTGCACATTGTAGTCATAATGCTGTTTAATGTACACTGTACTTCATGGCTCATGCTCCATTAGTAAATCCACTGTTCAGAACAGGCTTGGCTCTACCTGACCAAGTTCATCTCATTGCCTGTATTCAGAGGAGAGATTTCATTCAAAAAGTGATAAAGAAAGCACGATAACTGGCCTTAGTGTTCCAGGCTTCAGACAGGAAATGCAACCAGGGTTCTCATTTCTGTACTTAATTCAGTGAGTGTTGCTAAATTGTGTAGATATTCCACTTCAGTGGTATCACTGAACCGACATGAACTAAACAGATCTACAAGAATCACACTGCAGTTACATGACTCTATGAAACAAGGAAACCGATAACATAATGATGTTTTACATCTGCAGCACGAATGACAGCTTTAATTAACACAAAGCTACTTATTTTCTAGAAATGTACTGACTCTTGCCCCAGCTCCATCACACTATGATATTTTTATGAAATTGAATTGTGTCAGCTCCATCTGGTTTTCTTGGCATCACAACTCAAAATACTGATTTTTTTTTTAAAAAAAGTGTTGTCAAGGTAACAGCCTCATTCAGTGCTGAGTAGAGTATAGACGTCAGAAGTCATGCCAAATCATGGAGGTAATATGGTGCACCAGCAAATCCTATAGGAAAGAAGTAAAATTCAGACTTCCTATTTTCACAGTAACATATCTGAGGCTAGTATCATGTTCAACAAATTATACACTGAAGGCCACTTGGAAGAAAAAGACTAAATAATTCAATTTATTTTAATGACAAAGGATTTTAGAATGTGGAATCTATAAATAGAAAGAACTTCAAATGGTGATACAATTTGAACCACATACCCTACTAATACTTTTAAGTGAAACATATTCTATTCAGCCGAGTCAAAAGGTCACGGGTTCAAGTCCCACTCAGGTTTTGTGCTCAGAAATCTAGGTTGATATTTCAGTTCAGTAGTGAGTGACTTCTGCACTAATGGTCTCTTCGGTGGATTTTAAATATCCAATCGCCATGATTTCAAACAACAGCAGTGCAGTCACCCTGGCGGCCTGATCAATATTTATTCCTCAAATCAACATCACAAACCCAGCTTATCTGGTCATTTCCACATTCCTGTTTGTGAGAGATTGCTTCGCACAATTTAGTTGTGACATTTCTCAAGTTACCATGTGCCTACAATCAGAAGTGCTGCATGCTTGTAAAGTGCTTTGGGATGTCTTGAGGTTGGGGATGCTGTTGCACAGATACAAATCTATCTTTCTTACCACATGCATTTTGTATCAAGAATGGGATGGCGTATTAACAGTGACTAGAAATAGGGAGCAAAAAACAAATGAGGTTACATTATGAATATATGATACACAAAGAAAATAAGCGCTTACTTCTACTGATTGAAACAACAGGCTAAAGCTGAAATAAAAACTACAAAACACCATTGTGCCAGGTGGCACGGTGGCTCAGTGGTTAGCACTGCTGCCTCACAGCACCAGGGGCCCAGGTTCCATTCCACCCTCAGGTGACTGTCTGTATGGAGGTTGCATAATCTCCTCGTGCCCACATGGGTCTCCCCCGGGTGTTCTGGTTTCCTCCCACAATCCAAAGATGTGCAGCTAAGGTGATTGGACATGCTAAATTGCCCGTAGTTTCCAGGCTCTGCTGGCTAGGTGGAATAGCCATGGGAAATGCAGGGTTATGGGAATGGGGTAGGTCTGGGTGGGATGCTCTTCAGAGGGTTAGTGTAGACTTGATGGTCCAAATGGTCTGTAAGGATTCTGATTCTATGATTAAGCACATAGATATTCTTACCTCGAATCACAAATCCAAAGGTATTTCCTTCTTTGTGCAAAGTTACTTCCACAGTTTTGAGAATAATCCCAGAGCCTTGAGTAGCTAGAAGAAAATTAAAGAACTTGTCACTCAAAATCGCTAGGAAATGGATTCCATGCTAATATGTAGACCAAAATCAAGGCCGATCATTTGGAAAAGAACCTCTAGCTGTCAACTATTCATACATTTTCTTCGATTTTCAGGCATGTATTTCGTGAGTGAATTGCCTGCCACTTCTGCATTCTTAGCAACAAGAAGGCAATTCAAAAAAGTGATGCATTGGTTGAAAAGTTGTTTCAGACATCCGGAGGATTTAAAGTAACTGATAAAAGGAAAATGGTTCTCTTTGGCATTTCTTTCATACACATATCGAGAATGTCAGAAGGGAGCCCCACAATAATTGCCAACTGCAATGCTGGAATTAAGAACACCCACAATATTGACTGTCACAATGCTGTGGCATCAGAAAATGTGCAGCACACTTCAGCTGGTAATTAGTCGGTGGAAGAATGCAAGCGTTTTATAGTTTTGAACATGATTCAAGATTTGCCAAATGACATCGGATGAGAAATAAATCATGAATCAAAGTACACAACTGCAGCAATGGGTTTTTGTATTTTTTAAAAATATTCATTCACAGAATGTGAGTGTTGCTGGTTAAGTCAGCATGTATTGTCCATTCCTAATTGCCCTAGAGAAGGCAGTGGTCCAGCTGGTATAGGTAAACCCACAATGCTGTTAGACAGACAGCTCCTGTATTTTGACCAGTGACAGTGAAGGAATGATGATACAATTCCAAATCAGAATGGTGTGTCCCCATAAATCTGCTGCCATTATCCCTCTAGGTGGTAACAGTTGCAGAAGGTACTGTCCAAGGACCCTGGGTGAATTGCAGCAGTGAATTTTGTAGATCATACACACTGCTTCCACTGTATGTTGGTGGTGGATTGAGTGAATGTTTAAAGGTCGGTAGGCCTTAGAACAGGCAAGTGGGCTGCTTGGTCCTGGTTGGTGTTTGGCTTCTTGGAGAAACAACTATCCAGCCAAGTGCTGCTGTAGTCATGGCATGTATATGACCAGTCCAGTTCTATTCCTGGTCAATTATAACTCCCATGACATTGATATTTGGTGATTCAGTGATGGTAATGCCACTGAACATCAAAGGTGATGGTCATTGCTTGGCACTGGAGATGCAAATATTACTTGCCACTGATCAACCGAAGCCTGAACACTGCCCAGATCTCCCTGCATATAGGCAAAGATCTGAGATATCGCAAATGAGGCTGAGCACTGTGTAAACCATCAGCAAATAGCCCCACTTCTGATCTTATGATGCAAGGAAGGACATTGATGAAGTAGCTGAAGATATTTGGGCCTGGGACACTACCCTGAGGAGCTCCTGCAGAGGTGTCCTGGAGCTGAGATGATGGACCTCCAACAATCACAACTATCATCTTTTGTGCTCTGAATGACTCCTGCAGTGGAGATATTTTCCTGATTCCCATAAACTGCAATTTTGCTCTGGCTCCTCAATGCCACTTGGCCAAATGCTGTCTTAATGACAAAGACACTCTGCCCTACATCATTGTCTGGAGTTCAGCTCTTTTGTCCATGTGTGCGCCAATGCTGTAATGAGGTTACAAGCTGAGTGGGCAATAATGGAATCCTCACCAAGTAACATTGAGCAAATGCCTAATAGCACAATTGGCAACACCTTGCACTATTTTGCTGCTGAATGGAAGTTGGACACCCCATACAATCCTCTACAGAACTCTAAAGACCTAACTGGCAGATATCTAACCCAGAAAAAAAAGTTTTGCCAGTGACAAAGTGACAACGACCTGGTTTAAAGTCAAGGCAGGGATAGCAGTTCTTCAGATGTCTATTCAGCAACAGATTCTCAGACCTGGTGCCACCAGATTGTGTGGGGAGGACAATAATTGAAGTGGAAGCATCACATTGCAAGCTCTCTGGAAAGCTGGGATTAGAGTCAAATACAAGTGCAACCTCTTCAATTATACAACAACTAATCCCAGCAAACATATACTGACTAATATAACTTGTTGCAGAAGGCTTGCGCAGAAGCAAACATGTGAGCATCCAAATTCCCACTATAGTCCTATCAGATTTTATCTAAATTCTTCATGAATGAAGCAATTATTTTGGTTTGGAAAATTCAACTCCGGGCAGTCATTGAGTCATGTTTGGAGTTGTATTCATTGCTGTTTACACACACAGCACTCGGCACGTCACATTTAAAGCCCCCAGTGAGCTGTCATTGCACTCAATTGAATGCCATGCTCACCTACATATGAACAGTGACTACTACATCTTAATTAACCGAATGAGAAGTGTTAGGGCAAAATCAATAAATGCACTTCTTCCTTTCATAAACCAAGATGGACTTGCAAATCATACCAAAATATGCTACAGAAGGATTTTAAAATAATAATACAGGCTATGCCACAGCTTTCCTACTAAATGTATAATAGGTGAATTAAAACATCTATCCGTGCAATAATTATATTTAGATTTCAAGTGGATTAGCATTGTCAATACTTCAAGCTTTTCAAGTGAACTGTACTAATTTTGATTTAAGATACTTACAAGCAGGAGGGAGCTCATATTCCACCTCAAGGACCACTCTCTCACCAACATTCTTCAGGAGACTGATGATCTCATCATGCCGGAATTTTGTTAAATTGATTCCATTGACTGATTTGATGTAGTCTCCAATATTTAACTGATCACTTCTGCAAAAGAACAGCAAAACAGATAGCCTACAGGCATCATGCCTCAATACGCACAAAGTCAAGTATATCCAAGCCTTTAACCTCTTCCTAAAAAGTCCCAAAATGCCTAGTATATTTTAAATCGAAGATATTTTCGCACACAAGAGCAACCAAGTTAAATGATCACTAAATTAAAATTCTCACAAAAAATGATCTGGTTCCACATGAAGTATCAAAACATTTTCTTAATCTCCATTAATAAATTTTCTCACATCCAAATTTTGTAAGGATTACTTTGATCTATTATCACCACTGATTGTTTCTTCAGGTACAATGGTCAAGAAAAATTGTTTTAATGACAATGTGTGATTTTAAAAAAAACTAAATATATGCACCTGAAATATTCCAAGCTGGTTAACACTATCTATCTGACAGAAATCAGTTTGTTGCCATCAATTTACTTCACATTCCTTACATTTATGTTTGCCAAACTTTAAGACATTGGTTTAAGATGCTCCCTCTTGAGCCCATTATTAATGTCAAACTTATTATGCTCACTATTGCCAAGATGCTTCCTTATTGTTAACTACTCCTTGTCCTCATCAGTCTGCTCTTGCTGATTCTAACACATTTTCTAGAAATCTACCTTAAACACCTCTAAAAATTAATTGCCTGCATCAGTTATAGACTGGGAGAAGCAAAACAGTGTATGTGAAAATTAAATTCACATTATCTTCACTACATGCTTTGTTGAGTACTTTGCTATATATAATCTATTTTAATAAACCAAATTATTTAGTGCACAAATGTGTCAAAGTAGAACATCTTAGTAAAGTTTCAAATGATCAAAAAACAATTTCATGCAATCTGTCACCAAAGCAATTACATTAGATTATTTCCGCAATCAGCAAAAAAATTCCAAACTGAAAATAACTGGTTTTCATGACTGTCTTGCAAAAAGGTGGCTCAATTATGCGGCAGATGTATTTTTATCGTTTCTGTGACAGAATGTTAGAAACTTCAGCAAATGAAACATTTGAGAAGTACTCAGCATCAACTTTAGAATGTATTATACACAAAGTCTTCATGAACTCAGTGAAACATTTCTCAACTGTAATCTCACTTCACCCTCTTGGTAATATTTCATAACAGTTTTAGTTACCTCGCAGCAATTCCTCCAGGCCGAAGATTGGACACTCTTGGTTTCCCTTCCTTGTCTACTCCACCTGATACTGTGAGCCCCAGGGTACTGCCTTCCTTCTTCATCAACTCAACTACAGTTTGACCTTTAAATTCCTCTGAGAATAGAACACACCAACTGTTAAAACTGCTCAACTCAAAGGAAGATACAAATAACATCCCAAAAATATGAGGAACACAGAACCTAATGAAAAGGAGGGAGATTAATGTCAGTAGGGAAACAGTTTTGGGGAAATCAATGGGATTAAATTCCCAGATGAATTTCTAGGGCTCAATAATCTATATCCCATATTATCTAAGAGGTGGCCCTAAACATTGTTTACTTGGACTTTACTAAGGCCTTTGACAAGGTTCCACATGATAGGCTAATTAGTAAAGTTAGACCACATGGGATTCAGGATGGGCTTACCAATTGGATATAAAATTTGTTTAACAGCAGGAGACAGAGAGTGGTGGTGGAGGGTTGTTTTTCACACTGGAGGCCTGTGACCAGTGGTGCTTCACAGGGATCAGTACTGGGTCCACTTTTGTATTTATATAAATGATCTGGATGAGAATATGGGAGGCATGGTTAGTAAGTTTGCGGATGACACCAAAAATGGTGATATAGTGGACAGTGGAGGATGTTATCTAAGATTACAGAGAGATCTTGATCTATTGGGTCAAAGGGCTGATGAGTGGCAGATGGAGTTTAATTTAGTTAAATGCAAGGTATTGCATTTCAGTAAAATAAACAAGGACAGGACTTATACAATTAAAATAGCCTTGGGTAATATTGTAGAACAGAGAGATCTCGGAGTTCAGGCACGTAATTCTTTGAAGCTTGCATCACATATAGATAGGATGGTTAAGAAGGCATTTAGCATGCTTGCCTTCATTGTCCACATCATTGAGTACAGGAGTTGGAATGTTATGTTGAGGTTGGATAGGATGTTGGTGAGGTGTCTCCTGTAGTATTGGTGTCCTGTTCTGGTCGCCCTGTTGTAGGAAGGATATTATTAAGCTGGAGAGGATTCAGTAGAGATTTACCAGGATGTTGCCAGGAATGGAGGGTTTGAGTTATGGGGAGAGGCTAGATAGGCTGGGACTTCTTTTGACTGAAACATAGGAAGTTGAGGGGTGGCCTTATAGAGGTTTATAAAATCATGAGAGGTATAGATAAGGTGAATGGCAGATGTCTTTTCCCTAGGGTGGAGGATTTCAAGACTAGGATGCATATTTTTTTTTAAGGAGAAAGATTTAAAAAAAAAAAAGAGAGGCAATTTCCTTTTTAGAAACACAGAGAGTGGTTCATATGTGAAATGAACTTCCAGAGGCAGTGGTGGATGGGGGTGCAGTTACAATGATTAACAGACATTTAGATAAGTACATGAATAAGAAATATTTGGAGGGACAAGAACAGACTAGTTTAGTTTGGAATTAATATTGGCACGGACCGGTTGGACCGAAGGTCTGTTTCCATGCTGTAAGACTCGGACTCTGGAAATAGCAGATATACTAGTGATCATCTTCCAAAATCCTATAGATTCTGACACAATTCCCATGGATTGAAGGGTAGTTAATATAACCCTACTAGTTAAGAAGGGAGACAGAGAGAGAAAACAATGAATTATAGACTGGTTAACTTAACATCAGTAGTGAGAAAAATGCTGAAGTCCATTACAAAAGGTTTAATGGCAGAACAGTTGTAAGATAATGACAAGATTGGATAGAGTCAGCATGGTGTTATAAAGGAAAAGTTATACTTGACAAATTTACTGGAATTTTTTATTGAGGATGTAACAAGTAGAGTAGATAAGGAGGAGCCAGTGGATGTGTTACTTGTAGACGCCATTGTTCCAATGCAAATTGAGTGAGTGGGCAAATGCATGGCAGATGCAGAATAATGTGGATAAATGAGGTTATCCAACTTGGTAGCAAAAACAGGCATGCAAATTATCTGAATGGTGATAGATTAGGAAAGCAAGGGGTGCAACAAGACCTGGGTGTCTTTCCACACCAGTCACTGAAAATAAGTACGCAGGTGCAGCAGGTGGCAAAGGCAGCAAATGGTATGTCGGCCTTTATAGCAAGAAGATCGAGTACAGGAGCAGGGATGTCTTGCTGCAATGGTACAGGACCTTACAGTATATTGGAGCAGTTTTGGTCTCTTTTTTGAGATAGAATGTTCTGGCTATGGAGGGAGTGCAAAGAATGTTTATTGTACTGATTCATATGTAGGCAGGACTGACATATAGGGAACAGACTGGATCAGTTGGGGCTATATTCACTAAATTTTAGAAGAATGGGAGTGCGGGGGATTTCAGGAAAACCTATAAAATTCTAATATGATTAAACAGGGTAGAGTCAGGAAGAATGTTCTCAAGATCAGAGAGTCCAGAACCAGGGGTCACAGAACAAGGATAAGGGGTAGGCCTTTTTGGACAGACATGAGGTGGAATTTCTTTTACCAGAGAGTGGTAAGCTCTGGAATTCTCAGCCACAGGAAAGTGTTGAATCCAAATCAGTGAAGACTTTCAAGATTTCATTGTTTTTAATCACTAAAGGCGTTAAAGGATATGGGGAGAAAGTGGGAATAGCACACGGAGTCAGAATGATCAGCCATGAATAGTGGAGCAGACTTGAAGGGCTGAATGGCCTACTCCTGCATTATATTCTATGTTGTTATGTTTCTAAATGACAAATAGAAAAAGTTACTAAAACGGTGACCATTCACTGGGGAACCGTTCTATGGATCATTTACTTAAGTGATCATTTTGCATATGCAAGTATAGATAGTAGGTGCAGGGATAGACAGTACAATTTCAAGTCCCAACTACCATTAAGGTGTGTGACAACAGGTTGATTAAAATAATTAGAAGGTAGGTGCCAATCAGCAATGGGGAAGACAGAAGCCCAATCTTATCCGAACCCGAATCCTACTTGCACATCCGGAAGAGGTTACACGACAAGGAAATGGGAATCCTGGTTAATTTTCACCATTAAGTCCAACTGCTGTAGTATACCATTAAACCAGCTCAGAGCAGGCACCAAACTGGCTTATTCCAAGCCCATGCAGCTTGGACTGTTCACTGGTTTAACCAACTATACAACAAGAGACTAAGACATTCTGTATGAATATCCTAAGATGATTATCAAAACAACAATGTGATTGTCTAGTAATAAATAATTGAATTTTTGCTGAAGTAGATTCAAAACTTACATTAAAAAATTAACTACCAATAACGTGCATATATTAAAATTTGCTTAATAGGAATATCCTAAAAAATTCATTCTATTCCAAAGGTAGATAAGAATCTAATGATCCTTCAATTGACATTAAAACTTTGGTTCCATAAGAATTTTTGCACAAGGCCCAGCAGGAGTTTGACATAATGAAGTAAATGTACTACTGATATGTATCTCAATTGTATAGTACATTTGATTCTGCAGTGTAAACCATGGCTCAGTTGGTTACACTCACCTCTTGAATCACAAGGTTCCAGGTTCAAAGCCAAATCAGGGACTTGAGTACAAGATACAAGGTTGATGCTTCAGTGCAATACTCTGGAAGTGCAGTCTTTCAGATGACATATTACATAGAAATCCTCTCTGCCTAATTAGATGGATGTAAATGATCAAATAGCACAAATTTGAAGAGTAGAGGAATTAGCCCCATGTTCCTGCCAATATTTATCCCTCAATCGTTAGATATTTACAAAAAAGTAACTTGGCCAACACTGCTGTTTTTGGGTTTTGTTGTGGACAAATTGATTGCTACATTTCATATACTGCAGTAAGCGCCTAGACTTCAAAAGTACCTCACTTGACCACAACGCATTTTAAGACAACCGATGGTCAGGGAAAGTGCTATATTGTTGCAAGTCTTTCTTTTTAGAGCTATCAGATTGAGCTGTTTTGGCCAGTTGACTGATTTGTGATGTAGAATGACACCAATGTTGATTCAATTCCCACACTAGCTGAAGTTACCATGAAGGATTCTTATTCACAATCTCTCCCCTCACCTGAGGTGTAGTGACACTCAAGTTAAACCACTGCCAGTCATCTCTCTCGAATGAGAGAGCAGTCCTATGACCTGGTAAGGCTACAGTGACCTTTTTTTTAAAAATGTAGAGGAGAAGAAACATTTAAAACTAAACAAGTTTGTGAACTGTTTGCGCTTGGATTGAAATGGAATATTAGTGTCTATACTATAAACAAAGTCTGTAGATATAAAACAAATTCCAGCCAAACCTACATTGAAAATGAAGGGGAAAATCTCCCACAGTTACAACTCATTTCTCTCAATTTCCATCTACTTTCTTGAACTGCATTATTTATTTCTCCTTGCAGCAGCACCACCCTTTTTTTTTCTCACTTGCTTCTGTAAATTCGCCAGAGGTCTGTGAAATAAGTTACTACACACAAAAAGTCATAAAGCGAACACATTCTACAACTAGACAATGAAACTCTCTCCCATTCTCATGCCTCAGTCTCAAATTCACGCTGAATTCATTCAAAATTTAATTTGTTTTCCTTACTGGGAAGAAGGCAGATCAAAAAGAGAAACAAAAACTGGTTAAAGTGTTTATCCAAGTTCATTGCAACAAAGAATCTGTATTATGGAATTATCATATGTAGTAGCAAAAGAAGATGATAACAGGTACAAAGGCTGTTAAAAAGTTGCCACAAGCAGGAGAACATTAAAAACTGATTCCTTGCTTTTCTGCCCTGTTGTACAGGATGCACAGAATGGCGATAAAGTTGAACATCAAAATAAACTTCAATATTAGCCACAATTGAGGGTACGGTATACAACAAAAGTAATGGAAGGAATATGATGCAGACTCACTCAGATGTAACGTTGATAAATGCATTGCTGTTTGGTAGACAGACTTGAAAAGGTAGGATTTTCATTCCAGCAAACCTGATAAGATTATCATCAAAAGAGAGAACACCAAAATTATGAAGCATTTTGAAAAGGATGGTAAATTGGTTTCCGAGATAGTGAGGCCATGAATCTTAGAACAAGTGGAAAATAAATTAGATGGTTGCTTTTCAAGCAGGGGCAACGGATGAAAGGTGGAATTTAGTGCTACTCCTTTAAAAGGGGGAATTA